TTTGGGTTTTTTTTTTTTTTTTTTTTTTGAGACATGCATGGTCTCTTGTAGCTCAGACTGGCTTTAGACTCTTGATCCTCCCACTTCCACTTTCCAAGTGCTGGTATGACAGGCCTGTGCTACCACATCCTGTTCTAAACTCGTTTTTGTTTTTGCAGCTTGAACAGTTCTCTAGCACTGAGTTGTATTCCCAGTCCCGAGGTCTACTTTTAAATGGTAGTGATTTGTGTGTTACTAGTATCTGCTTCATGTAGGAGTTGAACTGGACCTTGTACTTGCTAGGCACCTGCTTTATTGTGAAGTCCTTTGCATTATCTTTTGTTTTGTTTTGTTTTATAAGAAAAAAATTTTAACCAGGCAGTGGTGGCAAATGCCTTTAATCTCAGCACTGAGGGCAGAGGCAGTTGGATCTCTGAATTTAAGGGCAGCCAGGACTACACAGAAAAAAACTGAAAAGAAAAAAAAAACTTTAATTAAATGGTACAGGCACTCAAGTGCTATTAAATTTCCATTTGAGTGGCAAACAAAAATGAACTTTAAAAGGGTGTGATTTTTGAGTCGTTGGCATGGAGCTGGACACACACCTTGGTGTCATTGCTGTACTCGTCCTGTTTCTGGCAGAGGTATGAAGGTGATTGAAAACCGAGCTCTAAAAGATGAAGAGAAGATGGAACTTCAGGAGATCCAGCTAAAGGAAGCAAAGCAGCACATTGCCGAAGAGGCAGACAGGAAGTATGAAGAGGTGAGGCCCTCTGCAGTGACTCGCAGCCTCTGCAAAGACAGTCGGGAAAGGGTATTGCCCTTGCTCGCTTGAGCTGTACCAGCCTCTTCTTACAGGTGGCTCGTAAGTTGGTGATTATTGAAGGAGATTTGGAACGCACAGAGGAACGGGCTGAGCTGGCAGAGTCGTGAGTATTTTGTCTCCAGATCTTGTCAGACTGTTCTCCCTGCTTGGGCACTAATTTGAGTAAACTAGCATTCTTCGACCTTGTTAGACAGGCCTGGTGGGGTGGGGCGCAGCTTGTGCTTCAGCCTCTAAGAGTGGCTTTGGGCTTTTTCTCCTCTTGACTAGTAACTGGTAACAAGGCTTGCTTATTCTTGGGAAGATTCTCACATTGAGGGGAGCTTGAGAATAATATGGCATACAGCTAATAGGAAGATCCTGTTGGGTCCTTCCACCTGCAATCTCTTCTCCCTTGGCCTGTACTGACTTCAGACCTGGTCTCTGTTTTTATCACTTTGCCAATCTGCCTGGGAACTTGAGAGCAAAGGCTTTAGAGAAATCACCTTCTGCCCATTGGTGCCAGCGTGGCCTTGTGTAACAGTCAGCATGGATGACTATATGTGTGCTTGCCTTGCTGCTCCTCTTCAGACATGACATATCATGACATGTGGTGTTTTCCTCCCATCTGTTTATTTTTACCCACTCCCACACCCCATTTTGCGGCTTGTTTTTGTGCTGTTCCTTTTTTAACCTTTTCCCCACAACCTGGCTTGTGCCATTCCCGTGACTGTCACTAACAGCCGTTGCCGAGAGATGGATGAGCAGATCGGGCTGATGGACCAGAACCTGGAGTGTCTGAGTGCTGCTGAGGAAAAGGTACTAACCATAAGCCCACGGAGAGGTTCCGTGCGTGTGTATCGGTTTTGAGTTTGGTTTTGTTTTGCAGCTGCCTCCCCTCCGCCAGCTGGTTTGTTGAGTGCTTTCTCATCTTCATGGAATGCTCCATTCCTTCCCACTTACTTGCATCTCTTACCTCTTCTTTCCTAGTTGCTTCACTGCCTCCCCCAAGGGTCTCTGCCTCCCTTGGGTGACTTGGGGGGTTGTTTGGGTTAGGCATCTGTCCCTACCTCCACACCCAAGGAGCAGATGTAACTTGTTCTGGTAGTGAGTGATTTCTCTCAAGTGTTGTTTCTTTCTTAAAGCCACACCTTGTGAGCACAGAAGGGCCAGCTCCTGCTGTACATGTTCCATGGTAGAGGGAGGTGGGCTGATGCTTGCTCAGGTTCCCCAGAAACTTTCTTCCTTGATATGCAGTCCAACTCTCTACACATAGGTTCAATTCACATCTGTGTGTCTCTCTCCTTTTTTTATTTCTTCCTCTTCCCCTTTCCTCTCCTGCGGTATTTAAAATATTCACAGTAAGTGTTCTGAGCTGGAGGAGGAGCTGAAGAATGTCACCAACAACCTCAAGTCTCTTGAGGCTCAGGCGGAGAAGGTAGGGGCTGGTTTGTGAAGATGACAGGCTTGGGGCCTGGGCCCAGCCCTGCCCTTAGTGAAAGAGTAGACACACCCATTCCTTATAAACCTGTGACGTGTTTCTCCCCACCTCTGTCCATCCAGATTGTAGGTTTAATGCTAATTCCCATCTACCTCCACTGCTTAGGTTCAAATAACTTTGTGGTCTGGTGTGGGCCTGGAGTCATGTGCTCCTCCAACCAATAGTGCTGTGCTAAAAGGCAGTTAAAGGGTCTGTGTGGACTTGAAGAATGAGGTGAGGTCAGCAGAGCACCAGCTCTCGAGACCTACCTAGCAGCAGTCAGGACAGATGGCTGCCGCGTAGCATCCTGGAGGAATGTTTCAGCCGTGGATTCCTGCTGGTTAAATTGGACAAAGGCAAACACTTTGGGATGATAGAAATAAGATCAAAGTTAGGTCTGTCAACAAAAAACGATCCTGGCAGAGTTCACTCTGCGTGTTTTGTGTGTGGAAGTGGCTGGGTCTTGAGACCTATTGTTAAACACTGGTCCTGGAGCGTTTGACATCAATCAAGTCTAGGAGAATGTCTGTGACTGATGCAAGATTAACCTGGCTGCCGTCTGAGACCCTTTCTGCTCTGACATTTGTATCCTCTTCTCTTCACAGTACTCTCAGAAAGAAGAAAAGTATGAAGAGGAGATAAAGATTCTTACTGACAAACTCAAGGAGGCAGAGACCCGTGCCGAGTTTGCTGAAAGATCGGTAGCCAAACTGGAAAAGACCATTGATGACTTGGAAGGTATGGAGCATGGGAGGGAAGGAGGAAGAGGAAGGTCTGGCCCATTAATCTTGAGACTTCTCTCCATTCGTCCGAGGGAATTGGTAGTGACTTGGAAGCTGTGATGTGTCCTGTCCTATGTCATAGCAGCTAGGCAAAGTGGTCAAACTTGAGAGTTGGATTTTTAATCTTTTCCTTTAATAAGACTTTACCTATTTCTGGAATCTGCCGTCTCTCCTTTGAAAAGATTGAAGGACTATCTTTATCTCTAGTTTAGTATTCTTAAATCTTGAGTCTTAATTGAAATGGAAGCCATGAATTTTTCAGGAGATAGTGAAGTCCTGTATGTCACCCTGTGACCACTTTTGGGAGCTCTTTTTATCACTCAAGTTGCAGGACACTTGTCCAGGACTAACCTCAAAGCTTCTTGTTGACATTCGGCAGCTTGTCCAAACCGAGGGGAACAGGTCTTTTCCCTTGAGAACTCCCTGGATACGTTCTTAGTAACTGGCTGTTTTCGGGAAGGACTCAAGGAGGCGGCCTGCGGAGCAAAGGGCCCATGAATAATGATCACATTGAGTAAACAGAGAAGTGGCCCTGTGCAGGTGCCTGCTCCCTTGTCTGTCTTCCTTCAGTGTTACCGCTGGTTCGGAACTGGGTGGGAGCAGTCTCTGGGAGCCTGTAGTATCTGGCTTGCGCTCGGGCTCTCCGTTCTTGATACGCTCACTTGGAGACTGCAGGAAGAACTGTTGGCTGTTGAGGAAAAGTAGACTGAATGTCATATAATTAAAGGAAGTTCATGAGAGCCAGTGATTAAGGATAACATGTTTATTGGGGAACACTCAATAAGAAGGCCGCTACATTCCTCTGCTCTGTGGGCACTAGGAGCTACCAGCCGAACCATCAAACTCGACCACCAACCAAGCCAAATGGCATAAGGGATGTGCTTATAGTACCTTAGGCCACGCCCTAATGGGCTGGTATCTAAAAGGCTATTGGCTGGATGAATTCCCACACAACTGAAAATGGCCAGTCACAGCTGCCAGAATAGTTTTGTCTTTCTCCTCCCTGGTTTTAGACCCACTGTCACATTTTTTCCTATTTTCTAATGATTCCCTTTCTTCATCTGCTCCTGATACCTTTCACTTTGTCCCCTCCATCATCCCCGTGGTTCCTGTGCCTATCCAGACGAGCTCTATGCCCAGAAACTGAAGTACAAGGCCATTAGCGACGAGCTGGACCACGCCCTCAATGACATGACCTCTATGTAACTATCAGGCAGCAGTGTGGGGTTGGCTTCCTGGCTCGGGTGAGGGTGCAGGCTGCTGCTCAGAGTGTGCTTGGGTTTGCCCTTGAATCGCAACCTCCGCCCACTTAAACGTTGGTGCTGCTTACTTGTTTGGCAGAACCTGGGGAGGCATCTAATCTTGAATATAATTTGTGTTCTCTCATTCGTCCGTCTAGTTCTAACAGGGTCTAATTCTGAAAACCACCTTAACCTCAAACTCAATTTTTCTGACTTAACTTTACAGCTAAGATCACAGCCATGTGCTATGTGCCCAGCTCCCCTTACCGCTAAGATCACAACCGTGTGCCATTGTGCCCAGCTCCCCTTACCGCTAAGATCACAACCATGTGCCATTGTGCCCAGCTCTCACCGCTAAGATCACAGCCATGTGCCATTGTGTGCCCACCTCCCCTTACCGCTAAGATCACAGCCATGTGCCATTGTGCCCAGCTCTCCTTTGCACTGCATTTTCACTTTTTTTCCCGGTGCTAGGTGTGGTGACACACAACTGTAACCTTTGCGATCAAGATGCTAAGGCAGAAGGATTGCTGCAGGTTCAAGGCCACCTAATGTAGTGAATGGATGTGGTGGCGTTAACTTTTAATCCTGGCATAGGCAAATTTCTGAGTTCTAGGACAGCCTGGTCTATAAAGTAAGTTCCAAAACAGCCAGGGTTACATAGAGACCCTATCTCAAAAAAACAAACAAGAACACATACACACGAACCCTGATTTCTACCCTGAAATGAACGCTAATGTGACTAGGATGAGAAGCAGCCAGTTTAAGAATTGAGCTGAGTCCCTAAGCAAGCCAACCAGTGAACAGCACCAAAAGTTTTGGGGGGCTTTATCTGATCCCTAATGCTAATCTGCCTCTTCTGCCCACTAACCCAGAAGTAGCTGAGTATTGCAGCCTGAAGCGTCTGGCTCTCGCCGCTCTTACCTTTTCTTCCTCCTGAGCTGAGCCCTTCTCACCTGGCGTGTCCTTTTCCGTGCAGATAAATGTCACCGTTTCTGCTCTGCTCTGGATCTGCCCACTTTCCTTGGGGAACCCAACACCCCACTTGCTCTGGATTCCATTTGGGTCAGCCTGGCTGGTTCCCAAAGCCTTAGGGCTGGGGGTGGGGGGACAAAGCAATTTTCATATTTGCTTTCACCCCCATCCCAAATTAAAATGAGCTGCCAGAAGCCTCATGCCCTCCTGCACTTGTTATTGCCAGAGCTGTTGAGGAGCCCTGCGGGTGTGGTGGAAGGGCATTCTGATGATGTATAATCAAAGCTACATTTGTGCGTGTGTTTCTTCCTGACACTTAAACTTGCTGACTGGAGTCTTGTCAGTGGTGAACTGGTAAAGGCTCCTCGTGGCAGGAAGTCTAATGTTACTCCTTATGGCCATCTCACACCTTTGACTTCCGAGTTCTTGAACAGTCAATCTGGAGTATTTTCACCTCTTTAGGCCCCTTTCCCATGTAGTATGGTCAGCAGACCAATGAATTATTTCCTAATATGCCACCCTTTCGCTAAAGATTCAGACATTACGTCCTCAGAGCACATGTGTGTTCTGTGTGATCCATTCTTACATTTAAACATGGAACATGCCGGGTTGAGTTCTCAGTAGATGACCTTTCGTCTTTAAGCCTCCCTCACTTATTTGAGCTGCTACCATTTGTTCAGCTTTGTCTTCTAATGGGAGATTACCAGGACACACATAGACGATTGGAAAAATGAAGACAGTCACGTCCACATGGGGATAATGACTTACTATTAAATTTCTACTAGAGAAATTCTGGGTATTTGATGTAGAATTGAATGTCAGCACTTCAGAGTTCGTTCTATACAGCAGATACATTTGACATTATAGATAAATGTTGCATAGTATTTCAGTTTCTTATCAAAGCAGGATTAGAAACTTATTTTTCTTAGAACACTCGCTCAGTGTGCATGAAGCTGAGCTTGAACCCTAGTACTACAAAGAAAGAGGGGAGGGAAGAAAGAGAAAGGAAAGATAGCGCCAGGTGGAGAAGTGTTCCCTAGTCTAAGTCTCTAGCAAAGCACACCCCATTACCTGTACTGTCTTCCTGCCACATGGCCTTGGAGAGTGAGGTACAGGTTGGCTTAGTCAAGCAGGCACTGACGTTGTCTAGCTGCCCTGTTCCGGTGGCGAATAACTCCGGACGGGGAACTCTCGGCACCCTCTAAGGGGAGAGGACAAGCCCAAAGTCGAGCTGCAGATAGGAGAGTTTGGGAGCTAAATGGGAGGGGCACTGACTGATTCCATGATTGCTGCCAAATTGGAATTTTTGAGATAGTTTTGCACTAGCCCAGGCTGTCCTAGAATAGTATGTGCCCAAGCTGCTCTTGGGCTCCTGGCGGTCCTGCCTCTGCCCTTCCAAGACCTGCACCACCACTGTGCCAGATTTAGATGAGATTTGTTCATGTTGTCTGGTGATAAAGAATTCTGAACACAGCCTTTACCTCTGAACTACCAGCCTCAAGACTGATTTATAATGAGCAGAAACAAGCTTCAACACACACACACACAGAGCTAGGGAAAGACAAAGCAGCTGCAAAGGGAGATTTGGGAGGCAGATTTGCTAAAAGTGCTGCTGGGAAGCTTTGTGGTTGGACAGGAGATGGAAATGCCATGGTGGTGTGTGAATATGTGTACACCTCTCTCCTTAGAAGAGTTCATCTAAAAGCTAGGAGAAGATTGAATCTGGGCAAGCCTGTAATCCCAACACACCAGAGGGAAGCAGATCTCTTTGAGTTCAAGGCCAGCCTGAATGAGTTTCTGGACAGCCAGTACTACACAGAGAAATCCTATCTCTGAAAAAAAAAAAAAAAAAGACCAAATCTGTTAAAATGGGTTGGAGAGATGGCTCTTCCAGAGAACTGGGTTCACTCCCCAGCACCCGTGTGGCAGTAACACAGACGTACCTGCAGGCAAAACACCAATGTACACACAGATAAATAAATAAAGGAAGCTTCAAGGCCACATCAAACTATGTAACAAGACCCTGAATCAAAATCCACAAGGCGGGGTGTGCTGTTCTGTACCTTTAATCCTAGCATTGGATCTCTGGTGAGACTCTGTCTTGAAAAACAAAAACTAACTTTTCCAATTAAAAATTAGTCTATTTGTGTTTATATATGTGTGTGAGTATATTGGAGTGAGAACACATTAGCAGAATGTGCCGGCCCCAAGTTGCAGACATTTGCATATCAGTTTCTGTGGTCACTGTCACGTTCTCTTCAAAATCACTCTTGGAGCATGTGTTCTTTAAAGTCCACGCAGGCATGCCATGAGGGCACACACCATTAGCCGTGGATATGCCGTGCTTTAGGAAGTAATAGGTGAGGCTGCAGTGACTGGGGTGACTGGGACTTGTGCTCCAGTGGTAATGGGAGGAAGCTGACACTGAAGCTGCCTTCTTATTCATCTGCTAGCATCTCGACAGTCCTCGGATGCTGGGTTCCAGGCATGTGCAGCCCTGCTGGTGAGATGGACACTTCAGGGCCTCACAGCTGAGTGTGTGGAAGTAAAGTTCAGTTACTGAGTTTGGTACCAAAAACCTGATGGTGTTGAAGGCATAAGGAGGTGACATCCTGGTTCAGGGGTGACCCGGAAATGTGCGCAGGTGCAAACAAGATTCCCGAAGCTGGAAGGAGAGGATAGGAGAGATTTTGGAATCTAGAGGGATTACAGCTTAAGTAATACACCTCACAACCATAAAGAACATGTACAGGTGCCAGTCAGAGCGCGCACCTTTTAAATCCCCCGCACTCAGGCAGAGGCAGGAGGATCTCCGTGAGTTTGAGGACAGCCTGGGCTCCATAGAGAGACCCTGTCTCACACACACACAAAAAACAGAACAACAGAATCAACAACTGCAGGTGTGAAAAGGAATAATTAAAGAGAGGCTTGGCCAGTCTGTAGAGCGAGGTCCAGGACTGCCAGAAACCCCCACATGGAGGTGTGGGGAAGCTTAGCTGGCAGGAAGCCAAGTGAACTTGTTTGTACTGTGGGAGGAAGGAGAGTGGCTCAGGGCTGGTGGCTTTTGACCTTCAGCAGACAGACCTAGAAGCACAGTAACCCTGCTGCTTTAGGAATTTGAGGGTCTGTTTTGAGCCTTAAGGTCAAGGGCAAGGAGATAACACATTCAAGAGACAGGAGAGAATGTTTAGAATTTGGGCACTGATTATAGTGTGATAGTCACTTGCTTCTTTGACTCTTAAACATGTCTTGTGGAAAGGCTAGGAGTCCAGTTTTAGTATTTGTAACTGAATAAAATTCATTTCCATTTAAGTCATTGCAGTGACGGGATAACTATTGCTCAGCGGTTACAGACATTTAGTATCAGGCTGAGAATGTAGTAAGACCTTGTTTCAGAATAAGTTAAAAGCAGGCTGGGGCTTATTTAGTGTACCACTAAATAATAGATTGTTTGCCTAGTGTGTCTGCAGGATCCTAGAATCAACCCCAAGCACCATTTAAAGAGCAGAAGAGTGAGCTAGGGAACTGTTCTTTGCTTCCTGTGGGCTCCTGCCTCACCCCATTGGTGGGTTCTTTACAAGAAAAGTGAAGCCATCTTCAGGAAGTGTGAGCCACTGCAGGGCCGTGCTGGGTTGTTTCCTTTCTTTCGAAGTCTCCTGTCACAGCTCTCATCCAGGTTCTTGCTGGGGCCAAGGAAGAAAGGACTTGGCCCCTCAGGCAGTGGGCAGTTGGTTTACTCCTCCCTTGTTGCCACAAACATGCTCGGGCTTCTGTCACCTAGCGGTGGATGTCACGTCATTCCTCCTCAGGAATAGCCACACTGCAGCTCCCTGGGATAAATCACATGCACTATATGAGTGGGTGCTGCGGGCATATGCAGATACGGAGGTCAGAGGACGACTGGTAGGCACTGCCGCTCTTTCCCAAGCCAGGCGTGGGACTCAATCTAGAATGGGAAATATCCGTAGTAAACCAGCTTGAGAGGTGAGAGCTTTTGGGTTGGAGGGCTTGCTACTTGTCAGGCGTGTCTCAGACACCAACACCAAGCCTCGTGGAGCCTACTGACCACTCCTGTCTGTCACGTAAGGGTAATTGTCCACAGGAAGATTCTGCACGTTAGCATATTGCTGCCCTCTGACCTTCTGTCACTATCACTCTGCATAGCCAGGCATAGAGGCACACATCTATAATTAAAGATATACATGTATTATTTAAAATTCACATTAATTAAAAGTAATTGGAAGGCAGAGGGAGGAGGGGCCCACAAGTTTGAAGCCAGTCTGAAATACAGTCTCTCAGCAAAACAGAGCCTTTGAAACATACCTGTACACATTCCCACGTTTCCTGGGAGGGAGGAGGGACGGTGCAGCTTTCTAAGACCCTCTGCTTTGGCTGAGCACTTCGTCCACACAGTCAGTCCCAGCAAGAGAGCAAGGCCTGTTTCTAAACTAAGACCTTGTCTCACATCGAAACAGGAAGTTGAACTTAAAATTTGGAACTTCTGAGCCAGGCATGGTGGCACACACCTTTAATCCCAGCACTCAGGAGGCAGAGGCAGGCAGATCTGAGTTTGAGGCCATCCTGGTCTACATGGTGAGTTCCAGAACATCCAGGGCTGCAAAAATAAATAAATAAAATAACCTGAACTGCAGAGACTGATAGAAGGGTGGCCCAAGAATAATTGAGCTTTCGCATTGCCAAACTCTTGTTACCTGTGTTTAAGATGCATCTATAGCTTGGGGCGGGGGGGGGGGGGGGGGGGGGTGCGCGCATACCTTTAATCCCAGTCATCTGGGAGGCCACAGCTGCAAAATCAAGTTTGAGACAAACCAGTGAGCAAAATCTTATCTCCTTAGGGGGGTGGAGTGGGGACGAAAATCTTCATTTCTTAAGATGTACTCTGAGGAAGGCAGGGGGGGGTCTGAGCACTGGTTAAGTGTTCACCTGAGTAATGTTTTCACTTTGAGGTGAAAACATAGCAGCTAAGGAGTCTAGCCACTGATGAGTAGCTGTTGCCTATGAAAACTGGAGTTCCTTTGTTTTCTTAAGATTGAAATACATAGCGCTGGACTTCACATTAATATTCAAAGCAAGATGGAAAGCTAAAATTTTCTCCCTAGCCTAGGCTTCCCCCTCTTGTCCCTGGCCTGAATTAGAATCATGAGCACCCTGACCAAGGAGATAGTGTGATTATTCTTTAGATTAATTGTAACAGACTGCTTTGTGTGGGTGTTTTGCCTGCCTGTATGTGTGTGCGCCACATGCATGCCTGGTGCCTGCAGAGGTCGGATAAGGGCATTGGATTCCCTGGAATTAGAGTTCCAGGTTGTTGTGAGCTGCTATGTTGGTGCTGGGTTCCAAAGGAACCCAGGTCCTTTGGAAGAGCAGCCTCTACAGTACTTATAATTGGCTGATGTCCTTTTGACTGCTGCATATCCTGGTGACCCTAATAGGCCAAATTTCTTATATAAAAGGGAGACCCGAACGTGAGTTGGGGACGACTTGAGGATGTGTCTGGTAAATAACACGGCAGTAAGAAGCATTTGAAAATGAAGGATCGACTGGGTGCGATAGTTAAGCATGGTGTTGTATTGAATCCTCTGACCTGGGAAAGTGAGGTATTGCCATTGGTTTTTCCAACCCCTCGTGGCTGAATGGCTCTTTGTAAGCTCACTATATCTGCCTTGTGACTGTCTTAGCCCAGGGGACAAATCATGGGAACGGATTGTTTTAACATTCAGAATGGCCCTACAGCTGGTCATTCCACCAACTGCCTGACTCTTCCTGCCGAGTCCCCATGTCCTCCTGCCACACGGTGCATGTTACATAGACCATCTAGCTGAAAGACACACTTGCCTCGGCCTTGTACTAACCTCCCCTTTTCTCTCTCTCCTCCTGTTCCTCCTTTCCTCTTCCCTCTTCTCTGTTGCTGCTGCAGAGCGTCTCTACAGCCAACTTGAGCGAAACCGCCTGCTTTCTAATGAACTGAAGCTAACGCTGCATGATCTGTGTGACTGATGGGCAGGGCTCCCTGTGCCCAGTAAACCCACACCACTGACCTGGACCCCAGCAAAAAGCTGATTGTCTTTTTAAAAAGTTATTGTTTTGCCCTGAGCAAGTTAGTTTTTATTGAGGGCAGTTAGAATACTGTTCATTTCCTGACAGCCCCCATGAAGCTGCAATTCTCTATTTTAGGAGAAATTGTAGATGATGAAGGAAGGGGCCTGGAAACTTAGTGGGGACTTGGGAAGCCCCAGCTGCAGCTTTCTCCCCTGTGCGCCCGCTTTAGGGTTGGCACTTTTGCATGGATATTTTCTAACAATAAAAAGACTGACTTGACAAGATGTTGTAGCTGCTTCATCTTCAGGCCCAGAGATGGGCTCTTCTGACTGGGTGGAAACGGGTGGGAAGGAAGGGTGCGTAGCATGAGCGTCACTGATCTGCGAGTTTTCCTCCCTTCCGTGAAGCGCCATTGTTACCTGCAGGTTAACTGCTTGCTGTCCTACCGCTGGCTCTCTTCCTGATAGTTTCCTCCTTCTTGCTGCTTCTGGGTTTCATTGTATATCACTGTCTGGGGCCTACTCTGTTGATGCCTCTGCTGAAATCTCAATGGGGCTTTGCTCGCAAGAATGTGTGGTGTCTGGGTAGTATTCTTGACTTAAGCCTGAGGACCCCCGTCTCCCTGCTCTGTGGAGAAAGTACCTACCGCAGGGGGATCTTCCTGTGCTCGTTACTGAGGTATTGGTGTTTGTCCTCATCCTCAGCAGTCACGCTCTAGTGTGACATTTCAAGGAGATACTGACCTGTGGGCAGAGTGGGTGCCTGGTGCTTTTGCCTGATTCTGTGGAGACGTGTGGGAGGGAGAGGGAATGGCCGACAAGCCCCAGTTCCCTCCCCCAGGCAGCAGAGAAACGCCTCTGCTTCAGTAGGTATGCCAGAGTCCCCACAGAACCCAGCGATGCCATAGCTGCCTTCTATAGCTTCCGTGCGCCTGGCGCAAGTCTCAGAATAGGGAGAGCTCGAAACTGACTTTGTGTAATTCCTCTCTGTTCCCACTAGATAAGCTGAAGTGCACCAAAGAGGAACACCTCTGTACACAAAGGATGCTGGACCAGACCCTGCTGGACCTGAACGAGATGTAGAGCGTGCCCCCTAGTCCCCGCCCTGCCACCGCTCCTCCCTCTGACCCTGACTCCGCCTGAGGCCAGCCTGCCTGAAGCTGACCTTGAAACCCAGGGCTGATCTTTTTAACTGAAGGCTGCTTTCCCTCCTGCCACCCCTCTACCCTTCATGTCTTTTTCATAAAACTGTGTCAGCCTCTTCCCAGAGTTCCCAGCTGGAGGGGCTGAGCACCTTTGGGAACAATATTTAAGGGAGTGCGAGCACAATGCATTTGTCTTCAGTGCACTTGATCTGCACATTGTGATTCCTTTTGTCTTAGCGACCATAGTAACATTCCAAGCGCTTCCACAGCTTGGAGCAGCAGCCCAGTTCCTTGACACTGTTGGAAGGTGACATGCCAGCCTAATGGATACTGCTCTCTCCATAGAGGAGGAACACAGGACAGCCAGCAGAGCCCAGCAGGTTCCACTGTGGGACACCTCAGTTCTCTGCACCAAGTCCTAGACAAACAACAGGGAATTCTAGGAAGTTAGCCAGAAACAAAAAACTCTTCCGGGCTGTGAAGGTTCGTTCCATCTTTGATATCTTTGAACAACTTTAACCTTGTTTTTTATGTTTTACTTTTTCCATCAGTCGTGACCAAATGAGCCGGTGAGGCATCTGCGATGCCCCACCCCCAGGCCTTGTGCATGCCAGGCAAGCATGCTACTGTGTGGCCCCAGACCCACTGGTCTCCCCTCCGCCCCTTCCTAACTGCTCACATGGATCATGCTGCCCCTTAGTGTTCACCTGCCCCGAGGGAGAAAGAAAAGGAAGATTATGTTCGTGCCACTGATTTAGCCGTGTGGACATCATCTCATTGCCTTTCCCGAAGCTGCTGTCTCTTAAAGTGCCATCTCATTGTGCTTCGTATCAGCCAGTGCTGGAGGAATCTTGAATAGCTTATGTAAAAAACTTTTTAAATTTTATATTATTTTGAAATTTTGCTTTTGGGGACTTGTTATCTTAGTCAACCCATTGGCTGTGAGAATCCTTTGCGGTCTGTGGGCTGGCGGTGTGCCGATCTTTCGAGTGTCCCCGCCCAGTCGCCTTGTTCAGGCAGTCGCTTCAAGGCCTGTTCCGGGTGGACATGCTGCAGCTTACTGGCTTGTTTGTACTCCTGTCCAGAGAGAACCCCATAGTGCAACTGTTTTGATACTGAATATCAACACGTGACATTTTGAAATAAAGAACCAGTCCTTCAACCCTCAGACCGACTTGACTCTGTTAAACCAAGTGTGCTTTCTCCTCTCCAGGGCTCCACAGACCGGGCTAAAAAGTCAGGTCTTCGTGCCTGAAAGCCTCAGGATTTAACACAGCACACACACTGGAAACAGACAAAAGTACAAACAGGCTCAGAGTGTGACTAGGATTAGGGAGATGGCACCCATGGAAGAGCGCTCTCCTAGGTGTGAGGACTTCCTCTCTGGGGCGTCATCCACAGCCCCAGCCCGCCAGCCAGGCAGAGACAGGAACATCCCTAGGCCATGCTCCCCAGCCAGTGGCCAAATCAATAAGCTTCAAGTTCCATTTAGACCCTGTCTCAAATGATCAGACATGGTGTTATGTGCCTTTAGTTCTAGTACTCAAGAGGCAGAGATGGTTGGATCTCTTGAATTTCAGGCCAGCCTGGTCTATAGAACAAGTTACTGGACAGCCAGGACTACACAGAAACCCTGTCTTGAAAAAAATAAAGACTCATCTCCAAAAACACAATGTGCTGTAGAGGTGGCCTGGGAATTGGGAGCATCTCCTTGGGGGGGGGGGCGGCTGGAGGGGGTCGCCAGCATCAGTGGTGACTTGACTCTGTCACTCCAGTTCCAGGTGTCCGAGGGCTTCTGCACGTGTGTCCCACTTACACTCGGAAAGCTCACACACAGACATAATTCATAAAATTAAAATAAGCTTATCAGTGGTACATACCTTTAAGTCTCAGCACTCAAGAGGCAGGCAGATTTTTGAGTTTGTGGCTAGCCTGGTATACGGAGTGAGTTCCAGGATAGCCAGGGCTACAGAGAAATCCTGTCTCAAAAACCAAAAGAAAAAGAAAAATTCCATTTTGTTTTGTGAGACAGGGTTTATCCTGAACTCAAAAACTCACTATGTACACAAGGCTGGCCTCAATAGTTCTGCCTGTAGCCAGGGTGGCACTGGCGCAAGCCTTTAATCTCAGCACTTGGGAGGCAGAAGCAGGTGGATCTTTGTGAGTTTACAACATTATGCTTCCATGTGTGCCCACACGCCAGAAGAGGGCACCAGATCTCATTACAGATGGTTGTGAGCCACCATGTGGTTGCTGGGAATTGAACTCAGGACCAGTGTTCCTAACCTCTGAGCCATCTCTCCAGCCCGACGTTTGACTTCTACATACTTGCATTTTTTTTTAATTTTTTTGGTTTTTCGCACTCACAGAACCCACCTGCCTCTGCTTACCGAGTGCTGGGATTAAAGGTGTGTGCCACCACTGCCCAGCTCACACACTCATTTTTTAACTTTTGTGTGTGATGGTCTCAATATAGCCCTGGCCAGGCTGGCCTTGAACTCAAAGAGCCACAGGTGTCTGCCTCCCAAGTTATGGGATTAAAGGTACAAGCTACCATGCCCAGCTTTTTCTTTGTGCATTGGTGTTTTGACTGCACGCTGTCTGTGAGGGTCTGGATTCCCTTCAACTCAAGTTACAGACATTTGTGAGCTGCCATATGGGTGCTGAGAATTGAACCCAGGTCCTCTGAAAGGGCAGCAAGAGCTTTTAACTGCTGAGCCGTCTCTCCACACCCTTTTAAAATTCTGTTGTTTGTTTTTCGAGACAGGGTTTCTCTGTAGCCCTGATTGTCCTGGAACTCACACTCTAGACCAGGCTGTCCTCAAACTAAAGAGATCCACCTGCCTCTGCTTCTTGAGTGCTGGGATTAAAGGCATGCACCAGTGCCGCCTGGCAATACTCAGTTTTAAAGTAGTTCTCTTTCTCAATTTTATTTTGGTTTTCAAGACAGGGTAGTCCTGATGGTGACTGACAGTTTTTCTGCAGCCTTGACTGTCCTAGAACTCACTTTGTAGACCAGGCTGGCCTGCTTCTGAGTGCTACAATTAAAGGTGTGTGCCACCATGTCTGGCTCAAAATATTTCCTAAACAACAACAAAAAAATTAGCTCCTAAATTCTTGGGTACTCCAGACATGATGACTCATAACCATAATTCCAGTAAGGGTAGGAGGTCAGGGCAAAGCCTGAGGCTATTCTGGGACGTGTAATAAGTTCCAGACCAGCCTGTACTACAAAGTGAAATAGCTTCACACCAAGGGTACCAGGGAGATGGCTCAGTGGCTGGCTGAGCCTAAGGACGTTGGCCCCCAGGGTCTATGTAGTGAAAGAAGAATTGACTCCTGCTGATGAGCTTCTGACCACTATGCCCATGCTGTGGACCCTTGTGACAATGTGTACTCACAGGCACACGCAAATGTCTGGATGTAAATCCTTTAACACCATCACCTGTACACTGGAGACAACGTGAAGACAGGCCACATAATCTAACAGACTGAACTACTCTTACGTCATGACAACCATGTGAACTCCATAGACTTAGACTCCTTAATACGTCATACTGCTTATACTCCTGACTACTCTTTTGAATACTTGGAGAAAACCAGGTGTTTTTTTTTTTACATTTGTTTTGTTTTTGCTCTGGTGTGAGGGGATTTCGGAGGCCAGGGGCCAATACCAGTTGCCTTCCTCAATCACAGTTCACTTGTTTTTGAGGCGGAGTCTCAGGTGAACCCATTGTTCACAGATCAGCCAGACTGCCGGGCACTCAAGTCCTTTCTGTCTTCGCCTCCCCAGTGTGCTGGGATGAAAGGCGTGCTGTGTCTCCACTTTTATGTGGATGCTGGGAACTCAAGACAAGCACACCAGATCTCCAGCTTCTTTGAAAGGGTTTATTTTGTAGACTAGGCATA